ACAAATTACTGCCCTCTCTGCAAGGGAAGGGTCTCCACTCTAACCCCCTCCTCGATGGGGTATTATAACAAGTCTCGGGGTTGGTCACTGCTGCTGAAAATTCACCAGCAGGGGCAGTAGGCAGTTAGCCTTGATGAGAAGTCCTTGTTGGGCCAATGCATTATCTCTGTCCCTGAAACCATGGCCACTTTGTCCATGAGGCCTTTGAGCGAGGGTGGCTGAGGACAGGGGCCGAAGGCACAGGGCAGGCAAGCTGCCGCTTGAACACTTAGAACCTCATGCATGGTGGGAATTCTTGATTTTGCCAGTGGTTAAGACCCAAAGACTCTCCCACACTGGGGCCCGTTCTGAGATGTCCAGCCACATTCCTCTTCCCCAGACCTCCTTTCATGTCGCCGACCATCCTTTCCAAGTGGTAGCCACTGGCCATGACATGGTGGGTTATCTTCCTCCCAGGTCATCTCTCCTTCTAGGTAAAGTGTACAATGCAGACCACTCCAAGTTCTGGTCCCTGAGACGATCTCCTTTCCCCATTGTCCCTCGGCCCCAAGTGGGGCTGAAATGCCTCAGCAGGTGCCAGCAAAACTGGCAGAGCCATCTCCAAACCAGATTTGACTTTTTTTTCCTCTGGCAAACTGCTCATTGGGAATTCTCCACGGGACCATGGTTGTGAGGAAGGGGAGGGGCGGGGAGGGGCAGGCAGGAGGCGCCTCGCAGGATAAGGTTCCTGCAGCTCACGGGCACCATCCGCCACGTGGCCCCCAGTGCTGATATATACCACTCTCACTTGATGAGGGCGTGCTGCCGGGCTGGGCCCACTGAACTCTTGGCTTGGTGGATCAAATTGCAAGATGGGCAGTTTAGGTCACGTGGTCACCTAGTCTCCTGTGGTTAAGCCCTCCATAGCAAGAGCTATTTCTAAGAGGAAAATAATTACTTGCATAAGAAAGCCTGGCTTTGCTCCAAAAGCTAAGAGGCTGCAGCTGCACTTTCCCTATTGGGATCTGCTGCTGGCTCCACACAGCATCCAGGCTGGTCACAGACACTCTGAGCGTAATTAGATCTCCTGGGTCCTCCTGGCAAAATGCAGAGCTGCTTACAGTGTGCCTGGACCAGCTAGAGAGCCCTCCCCTGCTCAGGCCTCCATTAAAAGTAAATGAGGGCTTCCCTGGTGGTGCAGTGGTTGAGAGTCTGCCTGCCGATGCAGGGGACACGGGTTCGTGCCCCAGTCCGGGAAGATCCCACATGCCACGGAGCGGCTGGGCCCGTGGCCATGGCCGCTGAGCCTGCGCATCTGGAGCCTGTGTTCCACAACAAGAGAGGCCACAATAGTGAGAGGCCCACGTACCGAAAAAAAAAGGAGTCAAAGCAGCAGACCCCAGGCTGACATAGCTTGTCTTCAGATGCCAAAGAACTCCACTGAGCATCTGTGCCTCTTTCTTCTTGGTGGCACTAATAGCTGCGGTTCATACAAAGAGACAGTATTGCTTTTGTTTGTCCATTTTGGTAGGAAGGGGGAGCCTAGGGAGTATGTGACCTTGGTCCTCCAATAATAGACACCCTTGGCCCATGGTTCGGAAGCCATTGTGCGGATTCTTTCATTGCCGAGGGGAACCGTTCCAGCTACAGGCTCAGGAACTGGGGAAATTACTGCATACTTTTTCACTGACAAAATTAAAACAGTCAGAAGTGAACCTCCACAGTCTTCCATCACCACATCTGCCCACCTTGCAACATCTGCTCCCACTTACAGTCTGTTCTACACTGCGTGTTTCTGTAATGGACATTAAATATTATTGCTAAGTAGGGGGATGATGTCACTGTAATGTGGAAATTGGGTTGGATCACAAGTGATTTTTTTCCCCCAGCACATTATTTTGTTCCCCCAGATAAAAGCAGCCGAATGTGCAGGACAGCAACAGGATGAGCTGAATGGAGGAGCCGCAGAGGAATAAGGTACTTTACACG